GGGGTGTAACCCCGTGGGCCGCGGGGGGGCCCCCGGAGGGGGGCCGGCCGTTCCTGTCCTTTTCTTTTGAAGTTGCATTCTGAGCATTTTCTTCAGATCTATAATCTAGTTCATGATTTTTCTCTTCAACAGTTAATCTTTCCAGTTTTTTAATTTTTTTTGTTTGTTTGCTATAGTACACGTGCACTCACCAGAGAGAGAGAGAGAGAGATCACACCCCAGGGGAGATAGCTATGCCACAGTCACTTCTCCTCCATCCTCCTCTTGGGATTTTGGGCAAACGTGTGTGGTGTATTTATGTCAAGCCTGTGGGTCTGGGACTTGCACCACACAGTCAACCATGTGGGATCCAGCTGCATTAACTTCCATGCCACCTGCTGGCCCCAGAGTTTTTCATTTAACACCATACCATTTTTTACTCAGAAGTGAAGAGGGTTTTTTTTTTTTTAATATTATTTTCTTAGTATCTTTCTCTGAACCCCTGTTTTAATTTTTTTCTCTTATGTTTTTAAACATACTTATTTTACAGCTTGGTCTATGATAGACTTGCAAATATTTGTTGAAGTTATTAATAAATTATTAGTGTCTGATAGTTCTCTTATCTGAAATTCTCAGGAATCTGAAACTGCGGTTTGGTATAGCTCTGACTCCCTTTTTGTGTGGAATTGTGTGTGTGTGTGTGTGTCTGTATTTGTAATTTCGTATCAGAAGCTCATCTTTATCTGCGGCCTGAGTTCAATGTGTATCCCTCTAGAAACATTTCCCTTTATTTTTTTTTTAAATTTATTTGTCCATTTCTATTCTTTTTTTAAAGTTTATTTGTCTATTTCTTCCATGAGCAAGAGAAAGAGAGAGACAGCACCTCTGACAGGGTCTTGATCCACTGCCAGCCTCAGCCAGCCCCCCGCATGGGCACACACATGCCAGGCTGTTGAGGGAGGTCTCCGGACTTAAGCGGGAAACGACTCACGTGGGATTGTGTCACAGAGCATTGCGTGTCACTGTTGCTGCACTATCCTCTGTCCCCTACATTTCTAAACCTTTCCCCCCAGGAATATCACTGCCTTGAGAGCTCCTAGTTCCTAGATCACACAGGTAGCAAACCCGAGTGAGGCAACAGACAGACTTACACCTCATTTCAACAGAGACATTTTCCTTCATCCAAGCTCAGGCCAAGACTGACCGCCTCCCTCTGCCAGTAGGAAGATATTTTTTTAGCCCAACTTATAACTGAGGGTGTAGCCCTTTGAAGATCCTAGCCTTTCTATTAGGGGTCTCCACCTTCATAAATAGATGCCATCCTCTGAGCCCTGTATTCTTGTTAAATACAGCCCATGTGACATTCTGCTGAGAGGTGCCTCCCATTGCCAGCCAGAGCAGCTGCACCCGTGGCTCACGTGCTTCTGGTTTTCAGTTCCCTTTTACTTACGGCCCGTTGGGATTTCCCTTACCATCTTGCAAGGTCAACTAAAAAGAGTTTTTCATATTCCTTATCTAGTTGTCTAGTGGAAGGGTTTAGGTTATTGTCGTTCACCAGATCACTGGAGACAGAAATTTTCCCTCTTGGTTGCTTTTCGTCTGTCTGTTTAGGTACATGGTGTCTCACCATGTCATGATCCTCCTGCCTCCGTCCCAGCTGGGAGTACAGGCCTGTGCCACCACGCCTGGCCTTTTCTTTTCAGGTGGGATGTCACTGAGTTGCCCAGGCCAGTGTTGAGCTCACGCTCCTCCTGTGTCAGCCTCCCAGAGTTGCCAGCGTTACAGATGTGCAGCATGGCACCTTTAATTGGACCGGAACTCACACTCAGACCTCCTGTGTGGTCACAGCCTGTGGAGCTCAGTGTCTTAACAGTGCACATTGCCACAGCTGGGCCTCGCTTTGGTTTCTTTGCTTTTCTTTTAGAGAGGCTTTTATTATAGGGCATGTGCACTCACCAGAGAGACAGAAAGCAGAAAGAGAGAAATCACCCCCTAGGGGAGATGATCACGCCTCAATCCCTTCCCCTCCAGTCTCCTCTGGGGATTTTGGGCGCACACGCACATGCAACTGAGTGTTAAGTCACTGGTCTGGGACTCAAACCGCTGTCCACTACATGGAAGTCCAGCAATGTAACCACTATGCCACCTGCTGGTCCCCCTCTTACCTAGCATAGTCCCAGCCTTCTTCAGCCTCATGAAGCTCACTTTCGGTTTTAAGTGATGGAGGTATGGCGATGGTATTTTCATCCTGCCAAAGTGGTTCATAGATTGCTAAAAGGTGAAAGGTGAATAATCTAGAAAGACATCAGATGGCCCCCCGGGCCTGGTCCCGCAGACTCGCTCCGGCTCTGGGCCGCTCCTCCCCACCCTTGCACCAGGCTGCCCACAGCAGCACCGTGACCCTCTGGCATGGCTGTGAACATGGCGTGTGAACATGGAGCGTGCAGGCCGGTCTGCAGCCTGGCTGGTCTGCAGCCTTCCCGTGGTCTCCACGCCCGCAGTGCCACCGCCGGGGCCCTGGCGGCTGAGCGTGGTTGCCGTCTGGACGTTGGGCACAGGACCGACCCTGCCGTCAGTGTGTAAATTCACGGAGAAACATAAATGGATAACGACAGAAAATGGTAGTGGAACAGTGGGAATCAGCAGCTTTGCACAGGAAGCCTTGGGAGATGTTTATTGTAGTCTGCCTGAAGCTGGGACAAAACTGAGCACACAAGACGAGTTTGGTGCTTTGGAAAGTGTGAAAGCTGCTAGTGAATCTCTGTTCTCCTCTGTCAGGAGAAGTCACTGAAATTAATGAAGCTCTTGCAGAAAATCCAGGATTCATCAACAAATCTTGTTATAAAGATGGCGGGCTGATCAAGACCACACCGAGTCACCCTTCAGAACTAGAACTGATGCGTGAAGACGCGTATGAGAAATACGTAAAATCTATTGAGGAGTGAAAGTAGAACCCTTAAAGTAGTATAAAACAACTTAATGCAGGCATAGTTGTCTTAAATTAGTGGTTGCTAGAAGACTTAAAATGCAAGCTTTAGCAGCACCAGTGGGAGAAGAAACTATTCTGAACACCACTACTGGAAAGAAATACCCATATTTTTAATAAACACAAAATGCATCTTTTCCACAATATTCTATGATTCTTAGTCTAGGCTCAAGTATTCACAATTCATGAAATTATCTGATTAAAAACTAGTTATAAAAATTACATAATTAGTGATAACACTGTTATCCTGAGCCTCATATAACACCGTATATAACCTTGCCTGCACGTGGGTCAAAATACTTCATTTTCTCTCCATTGGAAATAAGTGGGAGTGGAGAAAAGTTTTTGCTAGTTGGATAGTGTCGAAGAACAGTACTATTTTAATTTTGCCATATACTACATTTGCTGGTGCTATTTTATACCGTTGAAGCAAAATACGAAATAATAAAATATTCAATTTCAGCAAAATAAGAAATAATAAAATATTCAATTTCTCCATAAAAAAAAAAAAGAAAAAAAGACTTCAGATGAATATAGCCCCTCAATCAGCTAAACAATCTGTGTGTTCTTTGAGGTTAGAAATAGTCTATTTGGACAAAATGTTTACTTCTATTTGTTGGAAATTTTATAGCAAATGTTTTCCTAAAATAACAATGACAGGGCACACACAGTGGGGAAAACATCAAGGGCTGGCTTCAGCACAAATATTAGCTTAGTCACGGATTCCAGATTCGCATCAGCCCCAATGCCTGGTTCTGTCTCTGCAGACTGTTTCTGGGGTCGGATGTCATCACCAGCAGCACGCCCACCAAGGAGCAGCCCAAGTCCACGGCCAGCGGTAGCTCGGGCGAAAGCATGGACTCGGTCAGCGTGTCGTCCTGCGAGTCAAACCACTCGGAAGCTGAGGAGGGCTCCATCACTCCCATGGACACACCCGACGAGCCGCAGAAGAAGGTAAAGTCTTCCTTTTCGCAGGTCGGTATGCAGGCAGCTGGCGTGGGCTCTGCCGTGCAAGGAATGACTGTTTCTCAGCACTGTGCGGGATTTTGCAAGTCAGGTGTTTTCATGGCTTTTTGGTTTTGTTTTAATGATAGTGCATGCCTGCATGTGTGTGTGTACGAGAGAGAGATGCGCTCCTCATGTCTCGATCTCTGTTCCCTAGACCTCCATCTCCGCAGGATCCTGGGTCCTCACACACATGCCCAGCTTGTTTTTTTGTTCATTTTAAAGCCAACTAGGGATCCAAACCCACTCTCGGCCGTGTGACTTCCAGCCTTGCAGGATGCTTGTGTTTCTGCTATGCCATAGAGCCTGGGTGTCAGAAGCTGAGTTTAATCTAGGGACCAGTTCCTTATAGAAACAGGTTCGAAAGCAATAGCAGGTCTTTTATTCACTTGGCCTTTGGAATATTGTTCCGTATCTGTATCTAAATGAAATATTGAGGCCTATAACCTGAGCTGTGCTTCATTTAGAAATGCAATTGCTCAAAAGGCACAGAAAGTCAGAGACAGATGTGTCAGCTTCTTGGTGCTGTGTTTTGTCTTAGCCAAGGTTCTCAATAATGGGGCAGAACAAACTCTTCTGAAACCTAGCATACCCCCCTCTCACGCATCTGCAACTTGGCTGACTTGTGTTGGGCTTGGCCTAGTCCGAGGGTTTGGCCCAGGTCTGCTCGACCCACCTCTTGTTATCTCTGGAGTAAGGGCTCCTGGGCATGTTAAGACAGAAGGGAAGCCCAGCCCCACAGCTCACCTCAAGCCTTTGCTTGGGTCACCACTGCCAGCATGCCATTGGCTAACGCAGTCATGTGGCCAAGGCCCCCTAAGTACAGGAAGCTGGGAAATACACTCCAGTGTGAGTGGGAGGAACTGTGAAATCACAGGGCAAAGGGCCTGGATGTGGGGAAGGGTGAGGAATTGATAGAGTCTACCATGTCTGAGAAAAAGGAAAGCCAGAAGTGATAAAAGAATTCCCACAGAGAGTTTCCATTTTCTATGGTTACATAAGTAAATCTAAAGAAAACAAAATATCAGTCTTAATCTTTTATACATATCTGCTTCAATCTGTGGGTCAAGGTACTTGCATCAGAGAGGCCAAGTCTGACATGACCAGAATTTATACCCTCGGAGAGAGGTTTGGGGCTGGCCAAGCTAGCCCTGTGGTGACATCTGGCCCTTAGCTTGTGCTTAGGCCAGTGAGGCCGTGCGGTAACAGGCCCCCGTGTGTTTGTGTCTGCTGCCCTGCGAGGGGTCCTGTGTGTTGCTTCCCCTGGTGTCATGAGCACCAGTGACAATCTGGGAGTCAGGAAGGGCTTTCACTCTCCAGACTCGTCACAGAGATGACACAGATGCTGCCTTGGCGGGGTCTCTTACCTTTCTTCTTTGAAAACCAGGGGAGACAATCCTTCAAGTTCTAAATAATGAAGGAAACACGCTGTAAACACCCAGAGACTTGCTGTTTTCTTAAACACACACTTCCTACGTTGAGTATTTAACTAATCACTCTCCATGGCTGGGCATACAGTCGTGACGGTCAAAATCTGGAGTGAACTTTCGTCATTCACTTTTGACAGATCCTTATGCATTATGGGCCCCACTGCTGATGGTGGACATTGTTTGCCAGTGACAGCTGAGGGGTGGCTCACATCTCGGTGGCATTTCTGGTCCGGGAAGGAGATGGAGTCTCATTCACACCGGGGTGTGCAGTGGACATATGCGTAGGTCCGCGTCATCCCTTTTAAAACCATGCAGAGCCCAGCCACTGTGACAGTGGTAGTGCCATCCCCTGCAAGGCCGGAAATCAGATGGTCAACCACAGATCTGGATCCCCAAATCAGCTTGAATCACGTGCGCACACGGCATTGGGGTCCCGAGGAGCAGCTGAGGGGGAAAGAGAATTACAGCGTGACCAGGTCCTGTTGATGGTGCTCCTCTCTATCTCTCTCTACCTCTCTGTCTCTTTATCTCTCTCGTGTTCTCATTTAAGAAAACAAAACTAGAAACCAGCAGATGTTGTAATGGTTACAACGGTGGACTCTCCCATAGTTGACTGCAGTTTGAATCCCGGACCAGTACTTAAAACTCACGCCAGGCGCGTGCACATGCCCAAGATCCCAGAGGAGAATGGAGGAGAAGGGATTGCGGCATGACCATCCACCCACCCTGCGGGGGGTGTTTCTCACTTTCTTACTCCCTGTCTCTGTCTCTCTAGTGCTCAATGCAAAAATCTCTCCTAAACAAACAAACTAAGTAACCAAACAAAAAAACCACCTAAGGTATGCAGAAGCCCAGGGTGCTGTCATCTTCACACCCTTGCTTCATCTTTTCTTTTCTTTTTGTCTCATTCTCCCCCACACTGGCCTTTTCATTTCTTACTGTTTCAATGAACCGTTTCCGGAGTCATGAGTTTCCATAGATGAGCAGCTGGCTTGGATGTGAGTAGCTCTCGGCTGCAGATCCCCTGCGCGTCAGCGGGAAGGCCCTTGGTGTCCCTGTCACGGCCCTCCCCACTCTGAGAGCCACGATGCCTGCCCTCTCCAGCAGCCTCCAGACTGTGCTCCCTCTGCTCCTTTTAAAGGTGGAGCGTGATTTTCATCCCTTTCTTCATTCCCCTGATCATGATGTCTGAACGTTGATTTCCACTACTGAAGTTCTCAGTAAGAATTTAGGGGCTCATCACGTGGTTTGTTTAGAGCTGCTATCCCCCAGACGTCCTCGAAGCTTTATCTTAATTGTATAAATGTCCTTGGAATCATGGAAAATCTAATCTAAAATCTAAGGAAGGAGAGTTTATGTAGAGGAAAAGTAAGGGGGAAGCGGGGAACCACGAGTCAGAAAACGGGCACTCCTGACCAAAACATCTCCAAACAATGTCATGCTATAGTTACCCACCACTAGTGAGCCCTCGCTTTGAGCTACCACACTGATAACTTTTTGCGAACATAAGAAAAAAATGCATCTTAAACCAAAAAAACTAAGGACCAGCAGGTGGCATGGTGGTTAAGGTGCTGGATTCCTACTAGGCTGACTCTGCAGTTCGAGTCCCAGACCCAGCAGTTGAAAATCACACCAGGCATGTGTGTGTGCATCCCCCAAATCCCGAGAGTAGAAAGGAGGAAAAGAAAAGGAACTGTGGTGTGGCCACCCTCCTGGGGAGTTCAAGTCCCAGACCCAGCAGTTGAAAATCACACCAGGCATGTGTGTGTGCATCCCCCAAATCCCGAGAGTAGAAAGGAGGAAAAGAAAAGGAACTGTGGTGTGGCCACCCTCCTGGGGCTGATTTCTCACTTTGCCTCTCTCTGTCTCTCCCTGGTGAATGCACTGGCCCAATGACAAAAACATAAAACAAAACAAAACAGGCATCAGCAGGTGGGGTGGTGGTTGGAGCACTTGTCTCTCACATGATCAGCCATGGTTCGAGTCCTGGATCCAGCAGCTTTAAAATCACGCTGGATATATGTGCATGCATGCCCAAAATCCCAGGAGGGGAATGGAGGAGAGGGGATTGTGGCATGGCCATCTCCCAAGGGCAGTGATTTCTTTCCCTCTCGCTGTTTCTCTCTCTGGTGAATGTACGCACCCTCTAGCAAATAAATAAACAAACAAACAAAGAAATAAAGCAAAACCTGAACCATATTAAGATACAGCCACAGGTAGACTCTTACCTGTCAAAACTGTCACATCAACTGTCATCTCTAATTAATGAGCTGTGTGGTTAAAATTTAAATATATAGTTAGGTTCTAAGAAGTCCACAGGAAATAAAGCAGACTTCTTTTTTTTTTTTTTTTTTTAGGTTTTTGCCATAGGACACATGCACTCCTCAGAGAGACAGAGAGTGGGAAAGTGAGAAGTCACCCCCCAGGAGGATGGCCCTTCTCGTAGGATTTTGGGCATATGTGCATGTACACACACTTGGCATGATTTTCAAGCCTCCAGGTCCAGGACTCAAAGTGCGGTTGGACATCCATGTGGGAGTCCAGGGCCTTAACTGCTATGCCACCTGCTGGTTCCAAAGCAGGCTTCGTTTTACTTGGAAGCCAGCTAAGCAGAGAGCGAAACTTCTGTACCGTTTCCATAAAAGGCAGACCAGTCCAAAAGACATCAGTGTTAGTTGTTTTTAGAATGCCTTCCAGAATATTTTATAGGATTAATGTGGTATCATTTAGTGTAGCTTATTTCAGGAAATGATTGAATTTTTACAGTAAGAAATAATATTTAAAATGATTCAATTTAATGCTGTTTTTTATTGCCAGAAGGCATGTATGCTCATCAGGAAGGAACAGAGAGCGGGGAAAGGGAAAAAGCACTCCCCATGGGGTGTGGTCCTGCTGCAATCCCGTTTCTCCAGCCTGTCTTGTCGGGGTTCGGGGCGCGCATGCATGTGCACCCAGTGTTTGCTAAGCCACTGGGGCCAAGATTCAAACCACAGTTAGCCATGCGAGACCCCGCTCCCCTAACCAGTAGGTGGTGGGACCAGCCCTAATGATTTCTTCTTATTACCTCCCGCTGAGGGGTAAGCATCCTTTTCCTTTGGTGGTTGGTGTTGCATGTACGATGAATGAAGAGTCGATCAGAAAAGCGCATTAACTGGAGCACCCTGCTCCTGAGTTACCCTTGACACATCACGGACATGTGTGTAGTTGTTTTTAGCAGCAACGTGGAACGTGTGGGAGCTGCTCAAAGGCTGTGTTTCCTTGGCCAAGTCACTTGATTTCTCCGAATCTTACTCTTCTTGTTATAATGTTCTGCCTTTTCACAAAATAGTTAGGAGATCAGAATGAATACATGAAAGCTCACCACAAGCCTCCCCGTGCTAACATACCGAGGCAGTGGTGTGTTGCCTGCTTCACGTTATCGCCAGCAGCAGACTGCCGGGCTGCACTCCTGCCCTCTGACCTTGGCGGTGAGAGTCAGGACACATGGGTGCATGCCCTGGGGTGCCGTAAACTGGCTGTCTGAACCTGGAGCCTCAGCTTTGTCTGTGGACCCCAGGCTCCTCAGCGGGGGGAGGGGACGGAGCCCTGTGATCTCTAAGGGCTTTTGCAGCAGTAACCATCCACACCGAGCTCTACGGAGGACTTCCAAAATCTCATGGCAAATGCATGCTATGGAAAAAACTTGTGTGGATTTCTAATTTTCTTGCACCAAAACAAGCTTATACTTTAATTCCATTTTTCCATGAATTTTTGACCCTTCTCCCCATAGAACCTAATCTTTATCTCAGAAACTACCAAAAATAGATCAAAGGCTGAGTGGGAAGTAAGGCAGGACAGAGTGATGTCTGTGGGTATGTTGAGCATCATTCCGGCTGGAGGCAGGGCTGGACAGACTGTAGGTAGGTCTCCTGACTGCCTGCCTTCTGGAGCCCACATTGCTCCAGTTCCTGGTGTCTGCTGCCATCTGCTGGTGGCTTTCCATAGAACAGCTAAAACTAAAATGAGAGCGCCATCTGCCTCACATGGACTCAGGGTGATCAGGTGGCCCTGGGGCACAGATAGGCCTCTGCCATGGGGCGCTTACACCAGGGAGGGACAAACCCACGTGCGCTGTGGGCTGTTGTGGAGGGAGCACCTGACGCTTACCGCCTCGATGCCTGCCTCTGCTTTGAACATTGCAGAGCACGCGGTCGGCCAAGTCCTCACAGCTGTGTTTTCTTCCGGGCTGTGCTTCCTCTTCCAGCTCTCGGAGTCTTCCTCGTCATGTTCCTCTATCCATTCCATGGACACGAATTCCTCAGGGATGTCGTCCTTAATGAATCCCCTCTCCTCTCCTCCGTCCTGCAACAACAACCCTAAGATCCACAAGCGCTCCGTCTCTGTGACGTCCATTACCTCGACAGTGCTGCCTCCTGTTTACAACCAGCAGAACGAGGACACCTGCATCATCCGCATCAGCGTGGAGGACAACAACGGCAACATGTACAAGAGCATCATGGTAAGGCGCCCTGCCCCTGCCGCTTCCGGTCGGCGTCTCCGCTGCCCTCGGCACTGGGGCGGCTGGCACTGCACCGCACGGGCACACGTGTCCCCGTGCACATCAAGTGAATACGTGTGGATGCCAACACCCTGGGCATGCTTTAAAGGTCTACTTACGTAGAAATATATATACCAGGAAATCATGTTTAGACCTTGAAATTGGGTAAAACTTACACATTCAGACGAATATCACCCTTTTCAAAGTAGAAATAAATATACCACCGTGCATACAGGAAATCATGTTTAGACCTTGAAATTGGGTAAAACTTACACATTCAGACGAATATCACCCTTTTCAAAATTGTCAGTTTGGGTGACTGCATAAATGAATTCCAGAGGTGACACTTCACACTTCTGGAAAGTCTTCCTGTAGAACTATGTGTCTGGATCTACAGTTGAATTGCCGTACAGCCTTATCCGTGTACTGATAACAAAACCTTGTCCTTTCATCATGTAGATGAAACCTAGATAATAAAGTGGATGCTCCAATGGGAAATACAATTCGAGGCAGTGAGGAATGGCGCTTATAAATAAATGAGGCTGACCTTTTCAAGCTCTTTGTAAAAACTATGTGTCCCATGGGACCAGCAGGTGGCGTGGTGGTTAAGGAGCTGGACACTCCCACATGGCCAACCACGGTTCAAGCCTTGGACCTGGTGGTTTGCACTCTCACTTTCCCTCTTTCTCTTTCTGTGTCTCTCTGGTCAAACTAAACATAAATGAATGGATAAACTAAATTAAATAAATAATTTTTTAAAAAAGAAAAACTATGTGTCCCTGAGGACAGTCTCTAAAGTTTTGATAATAGCAGCCTTTTCGGAATACACACAGAGCCTCCCGTGGCAGTAACTGTGAGTGTGCAGGGTTTGGTGTGTTTATTCCAAGGTAAATGCCTGTGCTTGTAGGACATATATACTGAAAGCCAGACTCTTCTCTGCAGCAAACCCTACAGCTAACTCGGCATCTCCCCTCCTCCTCACCACGCTCCTCTGTAAGGACACAGGGTCATTACCATTGCTCTGACACGGCGTATTAAGTGGTATGGAGGCACAGTCTCTTAACATTCAAAAGAAAGGCCTTGCTAAAGCTCTCACAGAATCAACAGAGTATTTATCAAACAGTTATTGTGTACAGTCACTGGACCAGGCTGGGGATAGGGCGATGAATGAGAACTTTCTGTCTTTGAGGAACTTAAAATGAAAAGGGGGGATCATGAAGCCTTACTCAGAATGTACGAAATGCTCAAGAGAGGCCAGCCCAGCTTGGAAGGGTCTTAAGGCTCACAGGAGGGAGTTCGTGCTAATCCTATAGGCAATAGGGTCTTGTCGAAAGCTTCTAGGTAGCGATCAGATTTGTTCCTTAGGAAAGCAACTGGCAGCCTGGCTTTGTGTCCTTGTGGTTAAGGCACCTGGATCCCACATGGGGTCCCATATCATTCCTGATGACTTGAGAACACCCCAAGTGACTGTGTATGTCCAAAATCCCAGAAGGAATGAGACATGGAGGAGACTATGGGGGTGCTTTCTTCTCTCTCTCTCTGGTGAGCACGCATGCCCTGTGGCAGAAAAAGAAAGAGAGAAAGAGAGAGAAAGAAAGAGAGAAGAAAGAAAATAAAAAGGAGGGAAAGAAGAGAAGAGGAAAGGAAGGGAGGAAGGGAAGGGAAAAGAGCAGTTGGCATCTGGAGACTAGGTGCTGGAGGCAGGGGCCGACTGGAGGCAGGAAACAAGTCAGGAGGCCGCCCTCCTCCTCCTGGTGGGAGATGGTCAGAGCCTGAATGATGAGCACGTGGCTGAGGTGGTCGGGATTTTTAAAGCTTTCGATAAGGTAACACTGTCGAATGTGTGCGTTCAGTCATCATCCCTCTGCTCGTTCTTTTTTAGGGGGAGTTAGAGGTTGTGCAGGTCGCTTGGTGGTGGGCCAGTCTAGTGAGTGGAATCTGAACTGCTGGAGGAGGAGGTTTTGGAGTGCCTTTAAATTGGAGGCTATCCGGATGGCATTGGTCAGATGGTCAGAAACAGCGTGGTGCGAGGCTGGAGCTGGGGTCAAGGGCTGGGAGATCCTCAGCCACACAGAGTGGATATGGCCGTGCAGGAACAAGTGGAGGAGCAGGCAGAACTCGAGCGTGGAGAGCGAGAGGGCCCATAAAGGAGCCCCGGAGAGGCCGGAGCACACAGGGACACCAAGGTCACCAGAGCCATGTCTGTTTTCGCTATGGTCTGTTCTCATGGTTTCCCTTACATATGCGGCCCAGGGAGAGGCACGTCTCACCCGGATCACGCTCCAGTGCCTCGGGCCGTAGTGCGGGTCTGGCCCTAAGCAGCAATGCTTGGGACTTGCCTGGTCTCTGTGCGCTCTGCTCTGTCTGGGGAGGGCTGTGAGTGGCCGAGGCGTTTCACGACCTACTACCCAGGAGTCTTGGATCGCATGTGCAGCGTGTTGGGGAAGAAGCCGGCAGGTGACCCCAGATTCCTCCTTCCTTAGCACATGGGCTGCCTTTGTGAGAGTCACACCTCGGTCCCTCTTCCCTGTGGGCCTTTCTGTTGTACAAGGTGGTGCCACTGAGCTTTCACAAAAACGCTTTCTGCCGGTCCCAGGCTTGTTCTGGAGAGATGGCAGGCTGGCCTCGTGTCTCATTGGCATCATTAGGACTTGGCTCTGCAGGAATCCCTTGTGAAGAGTGTTCAACTATGAGCTCCCTTTCTTTCTTTCTTTCTTTCTTTCTTTGAGAGATTTTTGTCTTAGGGCACATATGCTTGCCAAAGAGAGAGACAGAGACAGCGAGAGGTAAAGTGAGAAATCCCTCCCTCCCCCCGGAGATGGCCATGCCGCAGTCCCTTCTCTTCCATTCTCCTCCTGGGATCTTGGGCACACTGCACAGTGATTTTCAAACCACTGGGTCTGGGACTCAGACTGCGGTCGGCCACATGGGAGTCTAGCAACTGTAAGCGCTTAACTGGAGGATGGGAAGAGTTCAGTCCAGGTGTGGCCCAGCCTACCAGTTCTCCAACTTTCTTGGTGTCGGGGCCCCTTTATACTCAAACAATTTTGAGTATTTCAAAGAGCTGTAGGTTAACGTTTTTTTACATGAAAAAATCTTTTTTTTCCTCAAAAGTTATTGAGTGAGAAGTGTAGCATGGCTTTACATTTTGGAAAATCTCCTTTTGGAATGTTTGTTGAGCTATATTGTTGGGTGGAAGTAATGTGATGAAAATCCAGCTCCGTACAGATGTGAAGGCAGAAAAGGGAGGACTATTTTAAGGCCTCTTCAGATCATTGTAGCTATTCCTCCTCATGGGTCACGATTTAATCAAATTAGCCACTGTTACCGTCTCATCCCGGACTTTCTTCAATGAAGCCAGCCTTCTTTTGCTTTGTGTGTGGCTATGTGGTGAGGACAGGGTACCGAAGGGTACAGTGACAGTCGTACGTAGGCACCGCCGTCCCCATCTGTGCTGAAGAGCCGCTGGTTTCATCACCCATTGCTTTTGCGGTAACGATGCAAACGCCCACACAAGTCAACCGTCTCTCAGTTTATTATGAAAATAATTTGGATCTCATGAATCTTTTCAAAAATCCCAGGAACCATAAATTGTGCAGTGAGAACTCCGAGCCCAGAGGCCTTGCTTTATAGGAGCTCCTAATGTCCCCCAAATCCAAGTCCTTGCGTAGAATGTTGGAGAAACAACACCGTAGCTCTTATATAAAAGTCCTCTCCTCGGTGACTGTGGGTAAATATCCTGCCACCACACCCATCACCCTTTCCAGGTGGTATTTTTCTCTACTGTGTCAATCTCCTGAGATCTTTGAAATCGGGAGTGTCATATTTGTGGTCTCAGGAAGGTCATGAAGATAACACCAAGCATCATCCAGTACTGCTCCGGTCACTACAGAAGCCACCAGCCATGTGGCGATGGTGCATTGAACGTGGGAGCAGTGCCAGTTGAGACGCGCCATGAGCGTAATAGACACACAGAGGCAAACATCAGCAGTGTATATTTGCTCACATAATCCTTTGGCTGTATAGGGTTAAAGAAATTATATTATTCAGATTAATTTAAGTTTTTCAAAGCTTTTTTTTTTTTTTGAGAGGTTTTTGCTATAGGGCACTTGTGCTCGCCAGACAGACAGAGAGAGACAGAGACAGAAAGCGAGAAATCACCCCTCAGGGGGGATGGCCACGCCGCAGTCCCTTCTCCTCCATTCTCCTCTCGGGATCTTGGGCATGCACGCACACGCACCCGGTTTTAAGTTTACGCCACCAGGTCCGGGACTCAGACCATGGGAGCCCAGCAACATAGCCATTATGCCAACTGCTGGCCCCTGCACTTTAGATGTGGCTACTAGAAATGTTAAATCGGACAGAGGCTCACATTGTACATCTGTTGGCTGTCGCTGGTTCAGTGTATCAGCACAAGGACTCATGAGGGAGGACGGAGCCATTACTTCTAAATGTAACCATTAGTTCCCTTCAGTAGCTTTTATCGCGAAAGTAATAAAGCATTCAAGGAGAGCCCTTGGCCAACCTGTCCTCATTTGGACACACTTGGGGAAATTTAAGGTAAAGAAAAGGAGAGTAGCTTGTCTTTCTGCTTAAGTAGGAGGTTTAACTTTGACAATTTAAACCCGCCTTCACAGTAAAAAGTACTAACATTCACCCCCCAAGTTGTGTCTCTTCTCATTTAGCTTTATGCTGCTAAACCAATTTTTACCCAGCCTCAGGAATAGTGCCTTCAGGCTATCAAGAAATATATTTTTCTCCTTTAGGAAAAGGAAATTTGGTGTATGCCTATTTTTCCTTTGTAAGTAGATATGCCAGCTGTTCGGGTAATAGACAAATGAACAAGGTCTTTGTGGCTAACAAGGACTCTTCTGTAGTTCGTGTTGTTTATTGAATCGCAAACACCAGCTGCTGCCCTAGATCAGGGGAGGCGTTGAGGCGCTGCCATGCCCCGGCTCACAGTGAGAGGCCCAGGGAGGAAATTAGACATTGTGTGTGTGTGTGTGTGTATGTGTGTGTGTGTGTGTGTGTGTGTGTGTGGAGGATGGCTTTCTCTCACAGTCCCATACCTTCTGGTGAGAACAGCTTTTATTTTAAGTAGGAATGATCTGAGTTTTCATTTGTTTCTTTCAAATGCAAAGAACCACTCCAAGGTATGGCAGATAAGCCAGCCCTAAACACCCTGCAGATTTATGGCTGGTGGACAAAGGTGAAGGGGAGAAAATCGGAATTGGGGATGCGAGGGAACCTTTACTTGAGCTTTAAAAATCGTTAGATTTCTTGTTTTTAAACAGAAGCTGATATTTATTGAACTGTAACATACAGTTTGTGTTAGAAGTCTAAAGAGTTCAGTTCTTTGGGTTTTAATAATGTATGTGTCTGTGTAACCACCGACCCACACCCCAGATCTAGATAAAGGACTTTTCCAGCACTGCCCCTAATTCCCTTGTGCCCCTTACAGTCAGTTGGACCCTTAACCCTGAGATTAGTTTTCTAATGCCACAGATTGGTTTTTCCTGTTTTAAAGAACAGACTCCAAAAATAGGTCATCTTTAGTGTCTGGCTTCTTTTGCTCAATGTGGCGTGTTCGAGATGCAGCCATCTGGCTGTCTGTGTCAGTTTGTATCTCCTTTCAGGCTCAGGCCTCTACTCTGCATGTACCTCAGCCCTTTGTCCATCCTCCTGCTCGTCTGTTGATGGAATTTCAGGTTTGATTCCAGTTAGGGCTATTTCCAATACATCTTCTGTGAAACTTACGTCCTAGTCCTTTTATGGACATGTTTTCATTCCTCTTAGTGAATACCTAGGAGTGGGGTTGCTGGATCATAGGGTCATTTGTGCGTTTTGTAAGGTCAGGAGGCAGAACCGTAGCCAGGTCTGTCCCACAGTAGGAACCAGGGCCGTAGCAGCAGTTCAACATTGAGGATCACTTTGGCTCAGGACTAACCCTCTCATATATATTTCTGCATTGGAATTTCAACCAGTGTGGAGGTGATGGCCAAGTTAATAGGAGAGGACATTGTGACACTAGAACCCAGGAAGTCCTGGCTCTCGGTCCCATTCTCATTCCATTGGTTTGTTCATCTTGGGAAAGCTTGCAGGTCACAGACAACAGTAAGAGGGTCAGTAGAGATCTCTCAGGAAACATGACACTAAGTACTTTACAAGCCCATTCTTTGTCTTCACAGTTGACGAGCCAAGATAAAACCCCCGCTGTGATCCAGAGAGCAATGTTGAAGCACAATCTGGACTCGGACCCAGCTGAGGAGTACGAGCTGGTGCAGGTCATCTCGGAGGACAAAGGTGGGCACGTGTCTCTTCACATGGCAGGTTTAGAAGGCAGAAAATGGATGCGATGTCTTTTTTGTTGTTACAATTTGTGGTAGAGAGCACATGCATGCACTTGAGAAAGAAAAAGAGAAAGAGAAGCACGCCTGACGGTGTCTCGTCATGCTGCAGCCCCCTTCCTAAGGCCCTACAGCCTGGATCTTGGGCAGGGCTGCATGCACCTGGCATGTTTTCATTACAACCTAGGGATCCAAACCCGTGGGCAGCCATGTGGCTTCAAGCACTGCAGCTTAGTTTGCTGTGGACTGAACCAGTAGGCCGGGCCGCCATGTTTTCTTTATTGGGACCTAGGGGTGGTCACTGACCATGCCAAGGGGAGCCGCTTCACTTGTAGACCCGCGCATCTCAGCCGTCGGCTGTGACTGTGCCCTCTTCCCGAGGTCTTGATTTCACTGTTCTTTGGCTGAGCAGTCCTCCTGCCCATTCTTAGTTTCTCGTCAAGTAGCTCTCTAGGAAGAGGGCTTTCCGTGTGTCAGGGTTTGGGTGGGCGGGTAGATGGGGAATCTCCTGGTCTCGGCAGATAGCCACACACTTCTTTAACCCCAAATCGGGCTTCTCAGCTCTATGTGGACCTGAAACTCAGCAGGTTATGTAGTAATTGCTCATTGTTTTCGTAAGCAGTTACAAGAGACTTTCTCTCATTCATGATCAATCTTCAAATAGCCAAAGCTTCTAATTTGATGTTTCTTCACCTCACACTTACTGAGGCAAAGAACTGGTAATTTATGAAATGCTTCAGTAGGCCTGGCAAACCTACAATTTAAAAAAATTGCTATCCTAAAGGGGCGACTAATCATCCTTGAATGTATCTAGTCACCCATTTGAATTGGGGTTCTGTTTGCTGAGAGGAGACACCCTGGTATATAACTCCTCTCTACCTGTCACATCGTAGCAAGTGACTCAGAATGGGTCTCTTCTCCACGGGCCAAAGGAGCAGCGGGTAGAGTTGCCCACAGCCAGCCCCGCCTGCCCACAGACCCCCTTCCTTTTGAATGCATCTTTTTTTTTTTCTTTTTTTGGAGAATTTTTTGCTATAGGGCGCGTGCGCTCGCCAGACAGACAGAGACAGAGAGATAGAAAGCGAGAAATTCCCCCCCCCAGGGGGGATGGCCATGCCGCAATCCCTTCTCCTCCATTCTCCTCTCGGGATCTTGGGCACGCACGCACATGCACCCGGCGTGAGTTTAAGCCACCAGGTCCGGTCCGGGACACGAACCGCAGTCGACTACGTGGGAGTCCAGCGACATAGCCATTACGCTAACTGCTGGTCCCTTGCATGCATCTTAATGCAGGGCTTAGTTCATCCACAAGCAGGGCCATCCTCACAAAGGAAAAGAGGAATGACACAGTTAGAGCTTTGGGAAGGGGCAGCCATTTACACTGCATTGACCAGCAAGTCACCAGGGCTGTATAAGACTTCCAAGACAGGGGCTAAAGTTAGAATAGTACCTTTTCATGGGGCCAGCAGGCGGTGTGGTGGTTAAGGCACTGGACTCCCACATGGCTGACCATGGTTCAAGCCCTGGACCTGGTGGCTTGCTTTCTCGCTTTCTCTTTCTCTCTGTCTCCCTCTGGTCAAGTTAAAAAAAAAAAATAATGATGATAAAAACAACAAATAAAAGTAAATAAATAAATAATCCTTAAAAAAAAGAATTAATGATGACAAAAACAACAAATAAAAGTAAATAAATAATCCTTAAAAAAAGAATAGTACCTTTTCTTAGATATTAAAAACTACAGCCTCTGAGAAAATCCTTTGTCTACTGCTTCTTAGAAATTTTCTCATTCACTCAGCTGAGCTCTAAGTTGGGCAAAACTTTCAAAATCCAGTATAAGTTAACTTTAATGTACTTATGGTTAATGCTGAAGCCCCAAAAACGGTCTCTTGAGTTTTACTCTGCTGCCCCCAACACAGCACTAAAGTGGGACTGGGAGTCTGAAGGTCTACGAGTTGCAGATGCAGCCTGGCCCAGTTCCGCCCACCAGAACGTGGTTGTATTAATCAGGGTTTTCTAGGGTGACAGACCAATAGAATAGCCTTGATATATGAGAGGGATTGTATTGGGAGAATCGGCTCACACGATTTTGGCAGCCAAGTCCCTCGCAGGCCCTCTGCAGGCTGCAGCTCCTGGGGTGCTGGTGTCTGAAGGCCTTAGAAACAAGGAGGCCGGTGTCACTCACAGGCCAAGGCCAAAAGCGTGAGAGCCCAGGGAGGCCTCTGAGTCCTGGAGTCCAAAGGCCAGTGAGCCTGGAGCCCCCGTGTCCGAGGGAGCAGAGGCTATCTTGCTTGCAGAAGAGACCCATCCATCTTCCATGTTTGTTCTCGCTGGACGCCTGGTGGTTTGAATCGTTCCGCCCACACGGAGGGCAGTGCTTCCCCTCCTACTCAGACCTTCATGTTAATCTCCTCTGGAAACACCCAGAATAATGCATTATTGGACTTCTAGGAATTGCTTGTTCAGTCATACTGACAGCCAGCCTCACCCAACCACTGACCTCACAGTGGTCTCAGGCAAAGGCTTATCCTCCCCACTAATAATAATTAGCCGGGTACCCCGTGGTTCCTCACCCATCACAGGGCCATTCTGAAGATATCAGGAAGCAATGTACCTAGGAGCGCTTTGGGGAGATGCCAGGTGAGCATTGATGCCACTGAGGACGTGTGGGCAGACTCATGGGGACTCTTCGGGGGTTCTTGTCTCATGCACGGCATGTCCCGGAGCCACTTTGACCCTGATCACATCGGTCTTGCTGAAGGATTGGGTAAACTTAATTTAAGCACTTAATCCAGTTCCTCAGTAAGATACCTCTGCTGCTCCTCGCTGCCTCCCCACCCTGCTGCTACAAAGCTAGACTGGTACTTTCTACCTGTCTATTCCATTTGTATTTTTGACACACATTACCCCAACACTAAACACCATATACCTTATTTTAGAAATAAAAGTGAATCAGGCCAGTTCTGAGTGGTACAGGTAATAGGATACAGCCCTGCAATGCTGGAGGCCATATGCAAGGTTGAGGTTCAGATCCCCTGTCAGCCTGGGCAAACCAGCACATGCACACATGCACCCAAGGTCTGACTGACTGGAAGGTCGTTGGAGGGTTCACTGTCTGATGAGACCCTGTCAAGGATGCCTGTCTCTCTCTTTCTCTCTTTCATGAGAGAACTAAAGTAAATAAACATTGTTAACGAGTGAGTGGAATAATTTGCTTTGATAATTTCTTATTACATTTGGAACAATCCTTGCTCAGAAATGGTAGACACCTCGCTGGGTATCACAGAGGCTAAGGTAGTTCCCCTGTTAGCAGATCTACCCTGCCTCACATGGAAGCCATCTGATACTAAAATGTCAGTTGTGGACAGAGCAGCGGCTCAAGGGAAATGCAGTAGTGGATCGACTTGAGATCACCTCAAAAACATTTCGAAATTTCTTTTTTTTAATGAAAGAATTAATTAATTTTAAAGAAAGATTTCTTACTTATTTTTGTCATTATTATTTATTTTTTTAATTTGACCTAAGAGCAAAAGAAAGAGAAAGAGAGAAAGCAAACCACCAGGTCCAGGACTTGAGCCACGGTCGGCTATTGGAAGTCCAGCACCTTCACCACCACACCATCTGCTGGCCCCTGTTTATTCATTTATTTAAAGAATTATTTTATTTAACTTTATTATTATTATTATTTTCCAGTTTGATCAGACAGAGAGAAGGAAAGTGAGAAAGCAAGCCACCAGGCCCACTGTGAACGTGTGGGCGTCAGGAGCCTTTAACCCATCATGCCACCTGCTGGCCCCCCTATTTATTTTTAATTTGCCCACAGGGAGACACATGCACAGAGAGAGGGAAAATGAGAGTAAAGTCACCAGGGCTGGGACTCTAACCGTGGTCGGTCATGTGTGAGTCCAGCGCCTTAATCACCACATCACCTTCCAGTCCCACCATTGTGATATCTCAAGTAAAGGGTTCTGGAAAATGCTGTTGATTTTCTCATTTTTCCTCCATGGCACTGGGTTCTCTTAGTCTTTGAGAAAATCCACGATAGAATGTGGATGTCGGAGAGGAAACCTGGGCCCCGGTGGCCGTCCCGCAGTGCGCTAGCTGTAATCCGGGCACTGTCCTTCATCTCCTCTCAGCCTGTTCCCCTGTGTTCTTTCTTCTAGCTTTAGAATCCTACATTTGAACAGGTAGTTTGTGGGTGAATTTCGAAACTATTATTTATACTTCATTTTCTATTATTGCTGTTAAGGTTGATAAATCTCTGGGGCCAGTTTTGGGGGATGGTGGTAGTCATTGTCTGGGCCGAGTCATGTGCCCAAGGACCATGGACCCAGCCTCATGTGCAGTCCAGTCGTACACCTGCCCCATTAGTGCTGGGCCGACACACACAGCTGACCTCCTTCCTTTCCCTTATCTTTTTCAGAACTTGTGATCCCAGACTCAGCAAATGTCTTTTACGCCATGAACAGCCAAGTGAACTTTGACTTCATTTTACGCAAAAAGAACTCCATGGAGGAACAGGTGAAACTGCGGAGCCGGACCAGCCTGACCTTGCCCAGGACAGCTAAACGGGGCTGCTGGAGTAGCAGGCACAGCAAAATCACCCTCTGAGGGGGCCAGGGGCCTTTGCTTGCCAACGGCCTTGTGGGGCTGAGAAAAGGCCATGTAACTGAAACGACCATCCAGTGTTACGGGAGCATCAGTGAAGTCAACCGTATTTATTGATTACCTGCAGTGCACAAAGCCCCTTGGTGGGCGTCACGGGGAAATTGGAAATGAATTTGACATGAAAAGGATGAGTGAGTTCGCTGATGAACGATTCTCTTTGACCTATGTGAGGCTGAAATGGAAAGTCATCTGCATGTAGAAATATATAAAGTTGAAGTCACTTTTTACAGGGAAACAGAAAGAACTGAGAACCTCTCCCTCACCTTCCGGATAAATGGAGACAAGCCGAGGGATACCGAGAAGACTGAGGGATGCTTTCTCAATCAAGTGCCACCAGGGAAAGACAACTGCAGAGGCCAGAACTGCCACGGACTGAATGAAAGGTCACTTTGGAAAGGGTTTGGATGAGTCTGTGGCCTATGACCTCTGCCTACATCTGCCACTTCCTGCTCCCCAGGAAGGGCCAGGAGGCGCGTTGGAGGCCCACCTGCCCCACTGGTCTGGCCGTCATGATACCCGGAGTCAACATAAGCTCATTTCGGCTCTGGCAACCCCATCACGTTTCTGTTTCATCCCCAAAGAACACACCACAGTCATTATTGCACAAATAGCCATGTTCTTTGGTAACTTAGCCAAGAGAATGGCGACTTGTTTGGGCTCCTCTGTCTTGAAATGCCACTACTCCATTGCCTTTTCTGGTCGCCTTTTGCATGTGAAACTATCTGGAGTCCTTGCCATCTGGATCCTAGTACCTCTGTATTATGTGCAATTTGTTCCTCAGGTGTAGAAATTTCTACCGCCGTTGATTATATTGTCATTTTGAGCCCGTGAAGGATTTCTGAACAGCGATGGCTCTGGTAATAGCCTCTTGGAAAATGCTCACTGCTCCTAAGAGCATCAGTTTTACTCACTAACTTCCACAGCATTACGTGCCTAGTCCTGGGGAAGAGGAGGGCTTGCATATATTATCGACATCATTTCTCGAGGTACATTCTTCCAGATGGAGTTAATAACCTTTTTTTCAGGTCCCCACACTTGCTATCACAGTGTCACTGAAGTGAAGTGACATTTTTGTCTGTAGTAACACTCTCCCTTCCAAAGCTGAGCTGTGCTGGGGTCTGAACTAAAAAGCCATATGTGGAATGTTGACATGTGTAAGAAGCACTTTTAGAATGTTGTCCTTTTTAAGACAAATATTCTCAAAATACAAGTTTTTATTCCAAAAATAAGAAAAGAACAAACCCAGAATATGAAGTGCAGATTGTAACATGGGAGTTTTTTTTTTTTTTTTTTTTCTTTTCTAATCCCGTGCCGTAACTCCCAAAGGTTGTGTGGGATTGCTGTTGTGTAAATAGCCATATGACTTCTGCAAGAAGCACCAGGGGAGCCTAGAGGTGTGTGGCTTTGGACCAAAGAACGAGCCAGGAAGTCCTCAGACTCCCTCTGGTCTCTCTAGGAGGTGGAGCTGCATTGCAGAAGACTTCCTGGGAACAACATGTGCAAAAGCACTTTCTTCTGTTTGTGAAGCTCGTCCAATCTGTGCCTCTGTGCGTGGAGGAGCGATGGCCGAGTGGCCACCAGCATGGAGACTGAAGCAAATGTATTCTCAGCCCAATTTTATTGACATGAGAGTCAAAAAGAAAAGGCGGAATGATTAGCCTGGTTGAGGGTGTGGCTACCAAGACATACGTGTTGTGCCCGTGTGCTCGCCCCGTGTATTTATATGTATATGTAGAGTCTAGATTTATATACTGCAATGTAAAATATATATACATATCTACCTTTTTTAAAGACAATGGAAGTTCCACTAGATAAAGCATAGCCTCATTTATTTAATGCCACTTTCAACGTCTTACATCTGTTTCCCGGTGGACAGCCGGGTAATGCGCTTAAGCTGCCCGCATGTTTGTCTTTCTGCATCTCATCAGCTGTTTACCTTTTGGTTAAACTAATAAACTGGTTTGGGATTTGGTTGGCCTGTGCTGCCAGACCCAAAGGGATTGTATCTGGAGTATTAATCAGATGGGTTCTGGGTTCCAGATATGTGAATAAACGTTGCGGAAGTGCACCCCGGATCGGTTGGAGGACACACAGGGAAGGTCAGGGGCAGGGTTAGAATCCTCCCACTGGCAAGTGTCATGAGTCATTTGGGGACAGAATGATGTCCCCAGGAAACTGCACTCCTGTGGCTTGCCAGATTGCTATTCTCAGAGTCATACAGTGGAGACGCGTTATAAAATCCAGGTTAGAGTGAGGACCCGACACAGTACTCTCTCCAAGAGCCTCTACCCCATTCTGTGATGGCTACCATCGGCATGATTCCTACAACCCTCCACGGTGCTCCAGACGCCAGGAGGACCTCGACGAAGGGAGAAAAAAGACCTTTCCAAGAGACATTCATTCTGAGGCTGGCTTCACTCAGCTGACACTCAGTATTTACATTTATCATAATGTTTCAAAAAAGTTCCTGGAATTTTTCAGAGGATTTTTTTTTTCTTTTGAGAGGTTTTTGCTATAGGGCGCATGCGCTCGCCAGACAGAGACACAGAAAGCGAGAAATCACCCCCTGCAGGGGGGATGGCGACGCTGCAATCCCTTCTCCATTCTCCTCTCGGGATCTTAGGCATGCACGCATATGTGCCTGGCATGAGTTTTAAGCCACCGGGTCCGGGACGCGAACCACGGTTGACTACATGGGAGTCCAGCGACATAGCCATTACGCTAACTGCTGGTCCCAATTTTTTAGGGGATTTCTAAACGAACCCAAATTATCAAATTTTCTGGGCATTGTGGAATTTTCGAGAGAGGCAAGTAGGTGTTTTTCTTTTATTTTTATAATTATTTCCTTTGCTTCATTTTTATTTGTTATTATTATTTTAAATGTGATCAGAGAGAAACAGAAAAAGAAAGGGAAAGTGAGAAAGCAAGCCGTCATGTCTGGGATTTGAACCATGGTCAGCCACGTGAGAATCCAGTGCCCCAACCATCATACCACCTGCTGGCCAAGAGCCAGCAGATCTTTTAATAATAGGAAATTGATAATATGGGGTGCAGCAGGAAAAAAAATTCATGTCTCTCTTCAGTACTAGTGCCTAGTTTTTCAAGATCATTCTGTAAAACCAGTTCCTGTGTTTTGTCATTGTTTTGAAACTTTTTTTGGTGACTTACTACCTGAAAGACTAATGTCTTAACATTTTCTTCTTTGGAGCATTCTCAGTTTTCATGCAGCATGGACCCAATAGGCTTCCGGGTTGCCTGTGTGCCCCAATTTTTCTACAGATGCCTCTAATTCCATGATGAGACGTAATCTCCAGTGTTTTTGCTGTTTTCTCTAGAATCTCTCTAAAATACTTCTGAAAGGAATGTATTAGACTAGCCGGGGCTAGACTGAACAAACCAAGAAATCTCAGTAACTTCAGACAAGAGTTTCAGTGTTTCATTCCTGTGCAAACCAGGCAACTCTTCCAAGTGCTGTCCTCTACCGCGGCTGAAGGATCCAGGCAGCTTCCATCTTGCAGCTCTGCCATGGTGAGGCTAAAGAGCGTATGGAGAACTCACACCTGTTCCTGCTGCCTTACACCAAGGTTGCTCGTGTCGCTTCACAGACCATTGACCAGTCCATGGCCCCAATCTCTGCAAGGGAGGGAGTAGTGAGAGAGCACCAGGAGGAGTGGATGAGCGCCGCTGCCTCTGCACCCAGGGCCAGCGTCATCGTCCTAAGGGTTCGCTCACCTTTGCACAGTGATCAGAAGCAGCATTTGGGAGAGATGGCAGTGGGGAGCTGAGCTCAGCTGCATGGAGTAGAGAAAGAATTGACTGAAGAGAGATGTCCAAAGAAGGAGAAAACAGCACTCTGATTTTGTGTGGAATTAGCATTGGTCGAGTTTATTTTTGATTTCTAGGATGTCATCACCAATTTTTGTGCATCTAAGGGGGTCCCTACCTTGACAAAACTAGAAGCTACTCTATAGGTGTGTGGATGTATGTCAAGTAAAGAGAAAGAAAGAAGGAAAGAAAGAAAAAGAAAGAAACTAGAACATTTAAAGTGTTGATCCATACTGGATTACGTAGACAGATTTAATTATTTTGGATTCAGATTTTGGAAACCATTATTGGTTGTGGTGTCTCAACACCTCTACCCAGAAACTTGTGTGAAAATCATTTCACTTTTTTCTTTTAAGTTTATTCATTTATTTCTTTTATGAGAGACAGAGAAAAAGGCAGGGACCCCCAACAGTCTCGATGCCATGATCCACTCCCAGTCTCAGCCAGCCCAGATCGCAGGCATGCATACACCCTGTGTTCTCAGGGAGGCTTCAGGACGCAAACCCACAACGTTTTCTACGTGCTCCAGTTGCATTACCACTGTGCTGCCACCTGGACTCCAGGTTGCTTCTTGGATGGTTTGATGAAAACAATACATGTTAGACTTTCTTAGAAGTTTGAAGGTATCCTTTAGTCAGTGCCCTCTCATCACAAATACAAGACTGAGGCCCAGAACGGTAGGTTGTCCAAGGCTAGGGGCAGAAGTCTGAACCCTCAAAGCCCACTCTGTGCCCGTCACACGGCTGGCACTGAACTGAGG